CTTGTTGTAGATTAATTCCTTGTTGTACATTTACACTACTTGTTGTGCCCTATCGCCCTGTGGTGCTGTGCCTAAACCCTGCTTAGGCTGTATTCGACTTTCGCTAACTCTGAGCAATTTCCGGGCATTGACCGTGTTATTGTTTTTGGGTGGCTGTTTTGTGTTCGTCGTATTGAAATTATGTTAGTTTCAATTGCTGTGATAAGGACAGTCATTTTTGCAGTTCTAGAATTGCCGGATACTTCGAGTTTGTTCATACGTCGAGCTCTATTTTTCGTGTCTGATTCATTGGATTGTTCTTAATTCCTTATGAGGCCAAAATAGGGCTTAATCTACAGATTAATTTGATTTAGAACACTTTACATTTCATATTTGATCAGACTATGTTGAGAATATAATCAAATATTCAGAAGCTTGTGTTGTTTATTCAGTAAGCTCGACTAAATCATGAGCACCATTATGAATTCCTGCTTACCAAGTACATTTACAGGTGTGTTCCCGAAACCTCGGTACGGTTTTAAACATTGTCAATTATTATTTATAAAAGAGCAAACCTGCTACATTTAGTTACTTCACATTAATGGAATAGCGCCGCGATTTGTTAACTTTACCTCAGTTTCATGGAAACAAATATAACCATGTATGCTTATGATTACAAAAATATGGCGTAGAATCACGTCCCAGGATGACCATGGCTGCTCCCGCGGGATATTAACAGTCTTCAAAATTGGGCTCATACCTAATAGGATGGTGTTTCACCCTTTCAAAAGTCACGGTTCTTTATACCACGGCACTATCCATGAATCGTAGTGTTTATAATTTGTGTACCTCAATGAATGAAAACGGCTATCGAATTCACAGACATTGAAAAAGGATTTGGAGTACATATCAAAATAGTAAGTTAGATTGGTCACATCACTGTGATATGATATACTCTAAGGCCTAGTCAGAGGTTAGGCCTTCTAAAAAGAACATGTTACTGCACCAATAACCATAAAAAAACGTCGGGCTTCTATCTATCTCAGGTTAGAAGTCATATCGAACACTGACCAATTGTCTGGCGGCCTCATTCAGAAACCCGGTGGGGAACTTGAATCGATACAAAAAGAGGGTATCAAGTGGATCCTTAATTGAGATTTACATTGAGCCTAGGGACAAATAAAGGTATTTCACTAGCGTGTAAGGAACTAAATATCCTTCCCTCTCTCGTGTAAGGTCTTGATTACAAGGACTTTATATTTATTTTCTATATTGTTTTATGAATGTCAGTTGTGACATTCCACCTTACTTACGACGTTTCTGGGAAGTAGGTTAAGTGCGATCACATCTAGACGTTCAGTATGATTAGTGGACATTTCTCCTTTCAAGATTCCACAAAACCTTACGTCAAGCCAGACCAGATGTTCAGGATATTAAGTCTTACTTTTACAGAGCACACCATTCTTTGGAATAAAACTCCATATGAATTAAGGGAAATTTCAAGACCATCGTGGTTAAAAACCCATTTAATTAAAGTACTCTGGACAGTTTCTAAACGCACCATATAACATCCTCTGACAGTTTAAACAATTTACTAATGTAACTATATTGTCTAAATATAAAATTGATAAAAAGTATAATTAATAAAATATGTTAAATAAAGTGTGTTTATAATTTGATTTATGGTACATTGATTATTTATTTGTACATTGTTAGTTATTTTTTCTTATTTTAGGCTGTAAACTTATAGTTCAATGGAATAAACCTAGCATGCCTTGGTTGCAGCATCGCTTTTCACTTCTAGGTGCATTTAGGGCCCGATGTATTGCTATGATCAGTTTACTGGTAAAACTGGGTTTTTTTCGGTGTCCCTTATCATGTTTACACTCGGTCACTTGTCAAGGCATGTAAGTCATTCGGCGATAATTTTCTTTGAATAAATGTTGTATTGTGTAAACAATTTGAATGTTCTTTATTGATAAAATAAATGTTTGTTCCAACGTTGCAAATGTCCCAGACAACTGACTCGATTAGTTTCTTGCTTCCAAGTTCTAACGGCCAACCTTTACTTGCTCCTTGACCCTTTTTAGCATGCTAGCAATCTTTTGTTAGGGGGAACCATGCCTGAGCTGTATAACCATTCTGTGTCGTTGAAGAGTCCTTATGTTCTTATATATTGTTATAAACTTTAGTCTTTTTTATTTTTCTTTATCCTTCATCCTTTCTGTCTGGTTATTTTATTACTTAATTAATGATGCTCGACAATTCAAAAGTAATGAATTATAGCGTGGTTGCCGTTGACACGTGGTAATGAGAATGATCAGAGCATAACTGCGCTGCATCGTCAAGAAATTAATTGTTTGTTTTTTCAACGTCACTTCAATATTGATACTTTTGAACCGCTCAGAGGTAGGTTCGTGTTTTTGGGTATATTTCTGTACTTAGAACGTCAGAATTAATAAACGCTTTTTATTCTAGTCTGTGTATTCGTTTATTCGAGAATTTTTTATACTGCAGCGAGGCTCAAGAGGCCAACAGTTGTGAGGTCAAATTCGAGGAGTATGCGTGTGTGTGTAAATTATACACGATATCGTTTATTAGTTTATGGGCCACGCAAATTACAAAACTCTGTACTTATAAACGATCTCGTGTTCGAATTAGCACACAACTGTACAAAACATATTTGCATAGGTAGTTTTCAGTTAGTTTTAAAATAGAAACAGTTCTTATGCTGGATAAGAGATAAATATAAAGGCGTTCTCTTTGAAATAAATGTTAATGGCGAGATATCAAAAGGGATTAGTCTGCGTTCAACTGCGTATTATACTTTGATAAATGTTCTAATATAGAATTTACGCCCTTCACATTCACGACGCGCACCAGTTATTTCTTATCGATTTTAATCTTGGTTCCCTTTTTGGTTGTAGTAATATTGTCCTCACGCCGTGCCAAACATCCTATTTTTTCGTAATTTGACCCAGATACGAACAATACCTACCTGTCTGCATGTAACTCATGGTCGCTCTCTCAATCTTAGGAGCACGCTCGACGCCCGCAGACCGCGCGCTGTTCTGCCTTGTTATTTTAAACCTCTGATTAAAGTTATAATAATTACAATTTTTATCTCATCTTTGGATCAAAAGTTATGGAGTATGAATCAATCATCATGAGATCGGGGTTTAGGTATGATGCAAATATACAGGGAATATTCCCTGCCAAACAACCCACTATTACCCATCTTCATCCTCAAGTGTGGTACTCCACTGCAAACCCCCCAAACTCTGTCTTAATACAAACCACCCTCCTGGCTGTGACCCAGCCGTTATTTCATGATGAACCGATCGCTCCTGATTGTTATCTACCTAGATTTTGAAGCAGATTAATCTGCTGTCATGTTTCTAGAATTGTGTGATTTTATGCAAATTTCATATTTTAGAATCGACTCCCATCCCTGTGAAATAACAGATCACATCGCTTCCCTGGGTTAACCAATCGTAATACACTCTACAAGTTATGCAGTAGGACTCGTCTATTCTATTAGCGACACTTATATATGTATCAACATTAATCTCATCTTGTGTACGAACAACTTCACCGGATAGTGTACCATAGTAGAGCATGTAAGGTGTTGTCTTGGTGGAAGATATCCGTCAGTCCACTAGAAGTAAAGCAATGTATTACAATACAGTGTCTCAGTATACACAGTGTATACATTTATTGCAATTACAGTTGAAATGTTTATACATAGTGTATACACGTGTTTTCAATGTATTGCAAATACAGTTATACAACTGCACAGTGTATTGTATACTCAGTATATACACAGAGTATTTATAGATTTAGAGATGTATACATATTACTCGACTTGGTAACCGTTCTACCAAGGACAGTAGACTAAGTTTATGTCATTACTTCATTAGTCGCTTCCCTTGCGTTTCATTCGCGCGCAAACCTGCCTTCTCTTCGTCTTGTGGAGAGACTTCTTGAATACGCTGATTTAATTCATGTTTTACAGGGAAGATCAAGCCACACTAAAGATAGCAGAAGGAGATACAGCTTGCTGTTGGCTCCTGTAATAATGTATTATATCTGTATCTGTGGTTGCTGTCTTTATCCAGCATGAATCAGATTAGTCATCAGATAACAGAGCGCGTTTAGCCGCCTCAAATAATGGCATACGGGCGTACGTTTAAACTTTTAGATTGATTCACACCAACATTTGTCTTGTCAATCAGCTGATGATCTAGTTTTAAGCACGCGTTACCCCATGTCAAATGTGCTCTATATTTTATTGGCCATGGTTTGGAACAATCAAACATAATTAACCGCTTCGGTAAGAACTATAATCAACACCCAAATAAAAGATTACCTCTTCAATCTCCATATCAAGAAGTATAAACAGGTGGCACTCAGTGATAAAGGAAAAACCCCACTAACATTTTTCCTCAACAAAAACAGGTACAATAAAATTAACATCACAGGTACTCACATCAGATGGCTAACATGGCTACTATCAGGACACAGCCCACTAGCATACTTCCAGACGGTAGCAAACAACTCCAATTTCGAAACACTAGACTGTGAACACTGCCCAGGGGAAGCAGAAACATCACAACACTTCCTATGTGAATGCATCCAGCTGATGACAACTAGAATGAGGATATTTGGTAAACCCATCCTAACAATTGAGGAACTCATCAATAGTAAACTCGACCACATTATCAAATTCGTGGAACAGTCAACAAGGTTTGACAGAGACGATCTATTTGGATAAGCATCTAGGACATACACCAAGGTTCATAAACAATCATACACTAGACCCACACAGGACTATCTCAGATAGTGACACATATTCAGGTGTGGACCATGCTCGGAAGTCCCTCGCCTGCCCGCCAAAGAAGAACATCTGAAGTGGGTTTGCTCTGAGCAAGGTAGTAACAGCTTCGAGACTGCAGAGGTCTGTTGCGTTGATATCTATTATTCTATGTTTTTGTATATACTTAGGGAGTCCTGGAGTGTGGCTAGCAGGAGTCACACTCTGTGGGCACGGCGAGAAGGCCTCCCTCTTCACTAGGAGGCCAGAAACCGTTGACCAAAACAGAGAGAGAGAGAGTGTTGTCTATAGTGTTGTTTATAGTGTTGTTTATAGTGTTGTTTATAGTGTTGTCTATAGTGTTGTTTATAGTGTTGTTTATAGTGTTGTTTATAGTGTTGTTTATAGTGTTGTCTATAGTGTTGTTTATAGTGTTGTTTATAGTGTTGTCTATAGTGTTGTTTGTAGTGTTGTCTACAGTGTTGTCTATAGTGTTGTCTATAGTGTTGTCTATAGTGTTGTTTATAGTGTTGTCTATAGTGTTGTCTATAGTGTTGTTTATAGTGTTGTCTATAGTGTTGTCTATAGTGTTGTTTATAGTGTTGTTTATAGTGTTGTCTATAGTGTTGTTTATAGTGTTGTCTATAGTGTTGTTTATAGTGTTGTTTATAGTGTAGTTTATAGTGTAGTTTATAGTGTTGTTTATAGTGTTGTTTATAGTGTTGTGCATAGTGTTGTTTATAGTGTTGTCTATAGTGTTGTTTATAGTGTTGTCTATAGTGTTGTTTATATTGTTGTTTATAGTGTTGTTTATAGTGTTGTTTATAGTGTTGTTTATAGTGTTGTTTATAGTGTTGTCTATAGTGTTGTTTATAGTGTTGTTTATAGTGTTGTTTATAGTGTTGTCTATAGTGTTGTTTATAGTGTTGTTTATAGTGTTGTTTATAGTGTTGTCTATAGTGTTGTTTATAGTGTTGTTTATAGTGTTGTTTATAGTGTTGTTTATAGTGTTGTTTATAGTGTTGTTTATAGTGTTGTCTATATTGTTGTCTATAGTGTTGTCTATAGTGTTGTTTATAGTGTTGTTTATAGTGTTGTTTATAGTGTTGTCTATAGTGTTGTCTATAGTGTTGTCTATAGTGTTGTCTATAGTGTTGTTTATAGTGTTGTTTATAGTGTTGTTTATAGTGTTGTTTATAGTGTTGTTTATAGTGTTGTTTATAGTGTTGTCTATAGTGTTGTTTATAGTGTTGTTTATAGTGTTGTTTATAGTGTTGTTTATAGTGTTGTTTATAGTGTTGTCTATAGTGTTGTTTATAGTGTTGTTTATAGTGTTGTCTATAGTGTTGTTTATAGTGTTGTCTATAGTGTTGTCTATAGTGTTGTCTATAGTGTTGTTTATAGTGTTGTCTATAGTGTTGTTTATAGTGTTGTTTATAGTGTTGTTTATAGTGTTGTTTATAGTGTTGTTTATACTTTATATAGTGTTGTTGAACTGGTCGTGTCGTTTCTATTTTCTTACTTTGCACTATTTAATTATTTGTCAAGAATACGCTTACGTCTTCAGATGTTAGATAGACATGCAATATCGTTTGTGTCTAGTGCTTCTTCGAATCTTGCTTTCAATTCTCAAGTTTCTAAATGTGAGAACTGTGTTTTTGCTTTACATTCTGTGCGGTCAGGAAAAACATTGATTAATAACCGCACACATGCATGAGTCAACTAGTAGCCACAACCAAAAGTGGCCTGATAGCATAATCGTTATAATGATAATATGTAATGACTGGTGAGAAGGCATTAGTGAGAATAAGAGTTGTAACTAGTTACTGGGTCGTGTTATTTGAGTATTACTATAACACAGGGCACACTGCTTGTAGTGAGCTAATTCCACATGAGATTATTACTTTGTTCTAAAAGTGTAACTCTGTTCATGTGGTGTTGAGTAAATTATAATGCTGTAGTAAAGTGTGTTGTGTGGTGATGAGACTCTAGAAATGTGTCAGATTATTTGAGCTGCTTTTAGACTGTTTTTTAGAAAAAAGATTGTCATGTGAAGTCTTGCAACATGTAGTGTAACAAATAGCCTCCCCAGTATGGGTAGCACAGGAAGGTTACAACAGTCCCACAAGCTCAACTACACCAGCAAGAACAATGACTCCTACATGGGTTTTGTGGGGGCTATCAGACTACTCTCCTACCTGGCCGCTGATGCAGATGAGATGTTCGGCGGTCTCATTGAAGAGGTCTCCTGTTGAACCTTATTTTAAGATGTATGGGCAATGGGAAATGTCGCTGTTTTACTTTATAGCATTAGAAATATTATTTTTATTAATTGATGCTACGCCGCTACGGTTAGGTTATTTTGACGATTGCGATTCTTTGCGGATTCCACTGAAAGGAGTTGCCATTATAATAACAAACGTTTACAGGTTTGATCAAATTATCTAATCTCTTCATTGTTCTGTGAGTTGTTGGAAATCACCGCACAATAAAATAATATGTTAAATGTAATATCCACTGCAGTAAGTACAATTCCTCCAAGGAACAAATGTAATATAAGGAGTTTAACGACACATTATGAAAACATACAGAACATCGTTTCTTCTACATTAAGTTGAGGTGTTATACTGTAAATTAAAACCCTGTCTGCTGTAATAAAGTTATAAGTTCAATTATATACGTAGCTCACTGTAAAGCCACCCCGTCATTAGCCAACTATATTACATAAGCGACTTGTAGTGTGATGGGGATCATGACTCTTTATTTACCGTTAATTATAGTGTTAATTATAGTTTTACCGTACTAAATACTACTTTTCAATGCTCACTAATGACCTGTTCTCTAAGATCACTGAAAATGACACGTTCTTTAAAATGTTAATTCATTACTCTTCTCCAAACTCAAAATAACATCATCTCCACATTCTGTTGTTTTGAAGTTTTAAGAATGTAGTAAAGTATGTATATTGTACGTACTTTTCCATTGTAAGTACGGCACTCATTAGTAAAGCTCAGTTGCCTGATACTGTAATAAGTAGTGATATTAGTGGTATAAAGTAGAACGCATAATATCTTATAACTTATTACATTACTTAATAGTAATTAGATACATTGTACAGTACTGTAATAAGTAGTGATATTAGTGGTACAAAGTAGAACGCATAATATCTTATAACTTATTACATTACTTAATAGTAATTCTACATTGTACAGTACTTAAGGCCAGAGGGGGGGGGTAAGGGGTCAAAAACATCGACCAAAATATTATTTTCTTAATCAATATAATTTTTGATGACAAAAACATTGCAACTATTCACATATTTGTAGCTGCTTAACTTTTTTAAATAATTGAGGTTAACCGACTTTCACAAAATTGACTATACAACATTGAGGTTAATAAAATTGAGGTTAATATTTTATTACACTCCATAATTTTTTGTTATTTCGGTCAGCAAATGTTAACTCTAAATTTTAGGTTCATAATTATCAAAAAAAGTAATATCCAAACGTTATTAAATGAGGTTAACCTCTTTTTTTAGATGTAGCGAGAATAGATCAAATGATAGAGCTATTATTTTCATCGTTAGTTTACGGTATACACATATCTAAATAGATGACGTGTTGATTGACTTTCTTTTATCTTGGGAAAATGAAAAAATGAGGTTAACCATCACATTTTGGTACTGTAGGGAATATACATACGATTCTTACTTATGTAATGTACCACAATATCGCAGTGAGGTATCTATTGGTATCACAATGCCTACAACTATAATCACGTGACAAAGGTGATTTGAACTGACCATATTTTAGTAGAAGATTTTATCCGTAAATGGCTAAAAAATGAGGTTAACCTCTCATTTTTTGAATATCTGACCAGTAAAATACATGTTAACCTCAAAAACTTAATCGTTACACTGTGCAAATGTTTTACTACATATATAATAACATATTAATAAACCAATCCCAGTGTTATATGGTCTAAAGCGAGGTTAACAACCAAATTTTTACTACTTTCGAGCAGTTAGTGTTTACAGGAAGTCTTGGTTAACCTCATTTTTTACAATACAAGGACATTAACTACTGAAAGTGGCTAAAATCGTTTAGGGGATGGCTAGGTCTGATCAAGCAAACGTTGTTAGGTGTATAGAAAGTCCTAACTAACGAACTGTGATACATTCCAGTGAATATTCAAAATTTTGAAAACACTAAATTGCATCTATCTCGAAACACATTTTGTGACTTTCAGTTCCTTAGTTGAGAAAACCAGCCACCCCCTGATATTGGGATTTGGTACAGTGGTTCCTTGGACAAGTATCTAGATATTAGATGCAGCGATTTTTTTTATTTGACTCGTTTCTCGAATTATGAGGTTAACCAGCTAAATTTGTCGAATTTTTGACATGGTTAACCTCATAATTCAAGAACCGAGTCAAATTAAAAAAATCGCTGCATCATAAATGAGGATAATTGTCCAAGGAACCACTGTACCAAACCTCAAGATCAGGGAGTGGCCGGTTTTCTCAACTAAGGAATCGAAAGGTCAAAAAAGTTACAGCCGTTTAAAGATCCAGTTTAACATGCAATTACAGGTAAACCTCAAAATTTAGCGCGTGATATCTCAGGAACGCAAGGTCTGATTTTGATCCGGTTTTTTTCTTCTTGTTCGTCTCCAGCAACTATTATCAAATATGTGAAAACTAGAAAAGTGCCATTTACCCCCCCCTCTGGCCTTAACAGTAATTATACATACATAATAAACTAACATACGTTATAAACTAACTAAATATAACGCATAATATCTTTAAAATTATTGTACTAAATTTTTACAGTAATTCTACATTATTTTACAGTAATTCTACATACTTAATAAACTAACAAAGATGTTTGACCAGGCTGGTTTATTCCCTCTAACGACCCCACCTGGCTGAGCTCAGCAACAACAATATAACAAACTGTATCTCTTTTCAGGCAAGTAGAACTGCTATAAAAGCTCGCAATATGGAGAGGCGAGTACAGACTCTAGCAGATACAATCTCCCAGAGACAACACTATGTCTATAAAACTGGTAAATTCTTCATAATATTCTCTCAATACTAACCGTATTAAACTGGTAATGACCATTAAATTTGTCAAATATTTTAAATTTTGTGTTTGATCCATTCAAGTTTAATGTGCTTAACCAAACTGAATTGTTTTACTTTTCTCCGTCTTAAATTAGATTTAATATTGATGGAAAATGTAAAATTGTGCGGTCTGTGTGTACTAAGCTTAGTAATTTTGAAATTATCCCCCAAGCTTTGAGATTTCTCAATATAATTATATATTATGTACTGCGGACATAAATAAATATTTCAACAGAGGCTTGGAATCTAATTTGTGGCACGAGCTTGGTTTGCTTGATATGTGAGAAAATATGCTTAGATTAAATACATGGTATTAAGGTAAGCATCTAGCAGCCACCCTGTAACCACCTAGTAACCACCTAGTAACCACCTAGTAACCACCTAGTAACCACCTAGTAACCACCTAGTAACCACCTAGTAACCACCTAGTAACCACCTAGTAACCACCTAGTAACCACCTAGTAACCTCCTAGTAACCACCTAGTAACCACCTAGTAACCACCTAGTAACCACTTTGTAACCACCTTGTAACCACCTAGTAACCACCATACCTTGTAAAAGTAAACATCGTATCATGACATTTGATACAGCTCGACAGTGTCTGTACACAATGTACAATGTACATTGTACAGTGTATATTTGTGTTAAATTATCTCCCCAGTACAACTCTAGTTCCTATGACTTACATCATGTCGTTATCTTATAAATCAGGTAATGTGTAAGGCTTCACTGGCTCAACAAACACAGTGTCTTTAAACAAAGTGTGCTCCATTCTCTACTCTATATTTTACAAAGTAGTATGATTGAATGTCCTGTATTTAGTAAGTTTCTCGTGACAATGTTTGAAGCCGTGGGCTCATGAGGTAGCTTAAGTCATTTCAAGCTCTCAATCAAAACGTCTAAATTGGACTCGTGTGTCACTGGAAGAAATTAAGAGTATACGTTTTGTCTTATTCTGAGACGACACTGTCAGCTATTCATACACTGTAAACTATCTATACTATATTATATAATATATATTCTGACAAGTTTTCAGGTTTCTATTTTTAGTTCGAAAACAGTAAACATTTTACGCCCAATCTGAGCGTTGTGACCCACTGAGGCAAGTGGTAAAGTTCAGAATTGTCAAGAGTGGCAAAAGTGGCTCCAACTAATAGAGCAATAACATAACACGGTAGTAACTACCTAGTAACCAGCTAGTAACCAGCTAGTAACCACCTAGTAACCAGCTAGTAACCAGCTAGTAACCACCTAGTAACCACCTAGTAACCAGCTAGTAACCACCTAGGAACCACCCAGTAACCACCTAGTAACCACCTAGTAACCAGCTAGTAACCATCTAGGAACCACCCAGTAACCACCTAGTAACCAGCTAGTAACCAGCTAGTAACCACCTAGTAACCAGCTAGTAACCACCTAGTAACCAGCTAGTAACCACCTAGAAACCACCCAGTAACCACCTAGTAACCACCTAGTAACCAGCTAGTAACCACCTAGGAACCACCCAGTAACCACCTAGTTACCACCTAGTAACCAGCTAGTAACCAACTAGGAACCACCCAGTAACCACCTAGTAACCACCTAGTAACCAGCTAGTAACCAACTAGTAACCAGCTAGTAATAAACTAGAAACCACCCAGTAACCACCTAGTAACCACGTCGTAATCACCTAGTAATCGCCTAGTAACCTCCTAGTAACCTCCTAGTTACCACGTCGTAATCACCTAGTAACCACCCAGTAACCACCTAGTAACCACCTAGTAACCACCTAGTAACCACCTAGTAACCACATCCTCGTTCAGACCTAAACAACCACAACATGGAGGTGGGCAAGTTCAGACCTAACACAGTAGTGGACCAGAACGTGGTGATAAAGGACAACAGGACGCCCTGTGTAAAGGAGAGACACTCAGCTGCAGACCTCACTCCTGCTCTCATTGTAAGTTAATATACATTTACCAGACCCCTATTTACCAGGCTCCATTTACCAGGCCCCCATTTGCCAGGCCCCCATTTGCCAGGCCTCCATTTACCAGGCCTCCATTTACCAGACCACCATTTACCAGGCCCCCATTAACCAGACCCCCATTTACCAGGCCCCCATTTGTGTGTTACATTGAGACCCTGGTTTACTGGAATTTCCTATCGAAACAATTTGGCAAAATCGTCTCCATGAAATTCCCGGTAAACCAGAGTTTTGCTGTAATGATAAGGGACTAATTATACTTCTTCCCGTCTGCAGTACCGTTGACCGAAAATATAATTTATTTCAATTTCAAAATTCCCTCATTTATGGAACTGTTTACGAGTGCTCGTAAATGTCATTCTGACAGGTTCAGTAATTACTGTTTTTGGATGTAAGGCTTGCTGTATGAGGTCACAATGTAACAGTAGTAGATACTAGTAGTCGATTTAGCGAGATGTTAACAGTAAATGATGGTGATTTGCGCTGTAATTAGCAGTTTTACTAATTAATTAATGAACCGGGACGGTTAGCTTAGTGCTCGAGCTGCATTTAAACTCACATTATAATGCCCAGTTCTGCGAATCCTTTCAACTTTAATGGCCATTTTAGGGATAATTCGACTATGCAATATTGAATCTCATAAGTTAAATGCTCGATACCAATACTGTTAAACCGCTTGAAGTGTAGTCATTCTCTGAATCTCTGCAGCTCAAAACTGGAATTCATATGATTTTACCGATGAATATAATGTATGGGGGTGCATCAACAAATTGACGTCATGATTCGAAACTCAATGTTCTACACTTTAATGCAGTTGTAGGTAGTTGCCTTTGCAATTGGCTTATATAATTGGCTTATATAATTGGCTTATAATCGATATTAAAGTATGATTCCACAGAACAGTCAATGCATTTAGATCGTTTAACCGTTTAACATATAATTGTACATTTGCCTAAACTGACTAATATTTGACAGGTCTTCAAGAATGTGAGGGAGGATGGGAAGGACTGCACGACCCTCTACACTGATCCCCACTACTTTGGTCGGGTTTGGTTCAACCAGATGCAGAAAGCGTTCGAGGCCAACAAAAGGGTGAGCTCAAAACATTCTTGTAGTGATTTACAGATTTACTCCATCACAAGTATAATTCATATCATAGTGCATTATATATAGCAGATTTTTGATATCAAAAAGTAATTTTAAAGATTATTTCTGTTGTTTCAATCTTCTAAGTTTGCTTTGTAGGGGTGTGATAAGAAAAAGTAAACAAGGGTGTTCGAATATGCGTGTGATGGTATTCATCACAAAATCCAAAATTCATTCTAAATCGAATACACGTTACCAATCATTATGATTAAATCGTCTGCTTTGAGTTTTAAACTTTAACAAAATCCAAAAGAAAAATTTTAAAATCTTCTCCTACAGAAAAATATATAAAATTGACTGCCGGAAAAGATTTCATCGAGTTTTAAACAGATACTATTTAATATTTGAAAGCATAAACACCGTCCCACTGAGGATCGTATGGTTCCATCCAGAACTTTCTGAAGAGATGGACCAGCTCATTTCGCTCCAGCTTTCCACTCTTGTCAGTATCAGCTTTCTCGAAGAAGGTGTAGGCAGCCTCCTGGGGTACATCAAAAGCTTTCATCATGGTCTTCAGCTCATCGACATCGACAGTACCATCACCATCATCATCCAGGACATCGTAGTAAGAGTTGGAGAGGAGGGCAATCAAAGATCCTTCTCCACGTCGTTCCCTTTCTCTCTCCGCTTCAGCGAAGACTCTGTTAGCCTCAACCCAGTCCTCTCGTGCGAGTCCGTGTTCTAGGTCTACTCCTTTATGCCAGAAGAAATTCTTGCATGCATGTCTCATCTTCTCAACCTGCTCATCAGTAGCGTTGACCAGCTGTCTCATTCTGTCGGGCCAGTACAGGACTTTGTCCATCTCCATCCTCTCGAGCTCTCGTCACTGTCCAGATCGAAAGTGTCAAACCTCTTGTAGAGTCGGGACAACATCTTGGGGTGAAGGTCCTCGACATTGTACTGCCAGGTGTTACCCACGCTTCTTCAGTACTTGTAGCTTTCGTTGTTGGTCTCGTCGAGTCCTGGCATCTTGTTGGCCTGGTCACTTTAGCTAAATAACATTTGGTTGTTAATTTCGTCAAAAGAAATTGTAATTTTCAATAAAATTAAACGGAAAGAGATTGTGAATTAATTTTACACAATTTTAATATCAGAATATGCGAGAAGGTTAAATGCTTGGGAGGGGGGGGGGGGGAGCCAATGCTTCTTAGTTGCGACTAATGTTAAAAGTGAAATGGAAGATTAAGCTTAATTTTCATAGTTGGTCCGTACTATAGGGTACGTAAAAACAGCAGGGTACTCACGGTACGAAAAATTGAATTTAGGGTACGTTAAGCTTTAAAATTGTTGACAAGACAGAACACATAGACACTACTGCTGAAGACAGTGAATCTGATAATGAGATGTCCATTGATTCCGCTTAATATCTTTAACTTTATCTTGATGATAAATTAAACATTTTAAACTTTTTAAAAACTCGTTTAAATCGTGTGAAAATAGTGGACAAATTCACGTCAGAAGTTTCAAAAGTACTCTTGCATACGGACGGCGAAAATCGAGGGTACGGACCAACTATGTTAATTTTATTTTATCTTTGACTTGCTTGGTCGATTAAGAGTGATAAGACAATCAAACAACGTATTTTTGTTTTCAATTCAAATGTAACATTTGAGATGATAGTAAAGTATAAGTCTAACATTCATTATCATACCCAAGTTAAGTGATGATTATAATTAATTACAAAACATTTCAATACTAAAATACAAGGTAAGTTTGATGTGAGTTTAAACTTTAGAAAACAAAATATCGAAAACAAAAAAAGGAAATTTCCAAGATCGTTTACAGATCACGAATTCAAGTCCATTCCAGGTAAGATATCATCAAGTTCCAAGTGAATACGATCTAGTATTTGTAAGCGTAGACACCATCCCACTGGGGATCGTATGGCTCCATCCAGAACTTTCTGAAGAGATGGACCAGTTCAGGTCGCTCCAGCTTTCCGGTCTTGTCAGTATCACCCTTCTCGAAGAAGGTGTAGGCAGCCTCCTGGGGTACATCAAAGGCTTTCATCATTGTTTTGAGCTCTTCGACATCGACAGTACCATCACCACTATCATCCAGGACATCGTAGTAAGAGTTGGAGAGGAGGGCAATCAAAGATCCTTCTCCACGTCGTTCCCTTTCTCTCTCGGCTTCAGCGAAGACTCTGTTAGCTTCAACCCAGTCCTCTCGTGCGAGACCGGTGTCTCGGTTTACTCCTTTGTGGAAGAAGAAGGTGTCGCAGGCAGCTCTCATCTTCTCAATCTGTTCGTCAGAAGCGTTGACCAGCTGTCTCATTCTGTCGGGCCAGTACATAATCTCGTCCATGCTCATCTTGCCGTCAGTGTCGAGATCGAAAGTGTCGAACCTCTTGTACAGACGTTCCAACATCTTGGGGTGAAGGTCCTCGACATTGTACTGCCAGTTGTTTCCGACACTTCTCAGGTATCTGTAGCTTTCGTTGTTGGTCTCGTCGAGTCCTGGCATCTTTGCTAACTTTTCCTTGAGCTAAACTGGAGAATATTATTTATCAGCAAAATTGTTATGATACTTATCAGATATGACTGGTAACTGAATGACAAGTCAACAAGAGAAAGTAATCTTATAAAGTTTCAATAGTATGTCGAGGACTGCTAAAGTTTCCTTCCTTAAATGCAAAATTTCGAATGAAATATGGGACTTATGGGATTTATCAACATAGTTTGCAATAAAACTTAGTACAATTGTCACGTTAAGACCCGGAGGGCGAATAAGCCGTGGAGGAGAATCCCCCTCGCATCAAATCCAAGTCATCATGATCAGCATGATCATGAAACTTCAACCTTGACTGAAGAAATGGACAGCAGCTCTGTTTATATACTGCAAAAAATTCATTATCGTAATTGGCCATCAATCGGATTAATTATTGGCGTAAATTGGATACCTAAATTAAACTCTCAATTAACACTTCCGGAACTGATTTCTGGAGCTGATAGAGTGAAGGGCTGGTGAACAGGCTTGGTAACTTTTTGGACAACTTTTATTCGATTAATTTAATCAGTTATCATTAATTGGTTTCAATTAATAAGATAAACTGAGATCGTCTAATTCTTAAAAATAATAGTATAGAAACCCAAGCAGAGCAGTATTTATAATTAGATTTTTATTAAAATTACAGAAGAGTTATGATAAAGACTAAGTATAATTCACAACGCTGGGTTATTCCACTAAATTAAATAAACCTGGAAGCGAACCTTCGTCTTTTACTATTCCATTCAAGAGGGCTGTAGCTTCACATTACCTCAAGGCTCACCTCAATAAAAAGTTCGATTCCAGTATGTTTGTCGTTTGATGGTGTTCAACAAAACCCCTTTCTCAGACACACCATAAATTGGGGTCAATATTATCCCAAAAGGCCGACCCAGAACATGATAACAAGCTGATAACAATTCTCTCAGGCTCGTACAAAAAAGAAGAATAAGAAACAAAACGTGAAGAAGGAACCGCGACCCGTCATTATAAAGGAGTACAAGGTTGATGCTTTAGGTTCGTGTACATTTACAATTTACGTTCAAATTACAAAAGAAGTTTATTAGAATTGTTGCAGGAAAGACTTCCAAAGAGAACGGTACTTGTTTAAACACACCAAGCCATTATTTCAATTCTTTAAAATAATTAGTTTACAATTTATACGTCTATTTTACAGCTTTTCAGTTAATGAAGATTGTGTAATTCGTATAATTCACCGAAATTATTGAACGGATTTTTCACTATATCAGCTCACTTGGCAATATTTATTTACCCTAAATTTGACCTTCATAACTACTCTTTACATTTACAAAAATTTAAAATTCCTACCATGTTAATTTCTCTCCTGACGGTGAGGCAGGGGGGGGGGCAATGGCATTTAAAAAAGTTCATTCATGCTACCCTGATCATTATGAGCCGAAAATATTTTTCGGGACCTAGCCCTCGAGAATTTTTCCTGAAAATTAATGAAATTTCCGGCCAAGCACCTTCTTAACTACTTACTATAACCTGATGGGTGTGCGACAATTGACCCCCGACAATTGACCCCCGACAATTGACCCCCTGTCCCCCGACAATTGACCCCCGACAATTGACTCCCCGACAATTGACCCCCCGAAAATTGACCCCCCGACAATTGGCCCCCCGACAATTGACCCCCCGACAATATAATTTAATACAATTTTAACCCTAACCCTAACCCTAACCCTAACCCTAACCCTAACCCTAACCCTAACCCTAACCCTAACCCTAACCCTAACCCTAACCCTAACCCTAACCCTGACCCTGACCCTGACCCGGCCCTGACCCTGACCCTGACCCTGACCCTGACCCTGACCCTGACCCTGACCCTGACCCTGACCCTGACCCTGACCCTGACCCTGACCCTGACCCTGACCCTGACCCTGACCCTGACCCTGACTCTGACCCTGACCCTGACCCTGACCCTGACCCTGACCAGGACCCTGACCCAGGACCCTGACCCTGACCCAGGACCCTGACCCTGACCCTGACCCTGACCCTGACCCCTGACCCAGGACCCTGACCCTGACCCTGACCCTGACCCAGAAATTGCTTTTTTTTTAAAGAGCTCATTTAAACTTTAAAGGAAGACTTTACAAAATTTTAAAAATAAAAAAAAAACCAAAAAAAAACCTCAAAACCCATTCCCAAAATTGAAATTTGAGGTAAAAATTGTTTTTTTGGGGTTAGACACCCCCTTTAGTACCATGTACTAACTGTTTTTCTGGAAAATGGGCAGTAGACCCACCAGTTAGTACCATGTACTAACTGTGTTTTTGGGAGAAAAAATGACCCACCCAATGAACGTCACGTCCAGTACTAACATGATCCCCCCGTGGTATGAGCTTTGAGTAGCCTGGTACTTACTTCGTTACTTCGTTGAGTTCATCCGTGGAGCCGGAAGGGTCATCAGATATCTGACCACCTAGATGGCGAGTAGTCGACCAGTGAGTTTGACCAACTGCAGCTGTAGCCGGCGACCGGAGGGTTGTCCGGTATCAAAGCAAGAAAGTTCGACAAACTACACTTAAACATGTCAAAGGATGAATCAGCCTTTACTGTGTGAGGCACTTTGTTCCACAGCTTCGGTCCTTGAACTGCAAAAGGCCTGTCGTACAGTGACTGGTTGCGTAAGGAACTTGACTTTGACAATGAGGGTATGACAGCTACATCCCCGTGTCTTGGGGTAACCATTCCTTAACAAATATTATCTAATTTATTCATCTCGCTTGTAAGTGGTTTTCTCGAGGGACCAGGGTTGACTACAGGGCCGCCCATGTGGTCTAACCGAAGGTTGAAACATCTAGTCTTGCTGTGCCAATTTTTACCAAATCGCGAGCTTTTGATTAATAAACACTCCGTTATACATACCACAGATATTGATTATTGATACACTTTATAAACGGACGGAAAATTTACACAATACAAAACAGACAATAGGGTCACTATGGTGCGTACTGATCCTAGGTTCCAGAGTTTCCAAACGTTATGCACAGGTTTTGAATATACCTTGTCTCGTATCAATTGTTCTACATCATAACCAATTACTATTGGCAATCGTATAAGCAGAATTCTCTAAAGTTTACCACGATTTAGTATTAGTCCTGTCGCTTACTCCAGAAAGCGAATTCTGTTTGCTACTAATTTATCCACCCCTCAATGTGGGGCACGGCACGAAAAATTATGAAATTTTCATAGTTCAAGGAAAAGATTTCCTTGGGTCACCCCTGCATTTGATTTGCTCCTCGTTATCCAGCTGAGTCCTTAGAACTGAGGAATCTTAATTCGGATGTGATGTTCTCATGAAGGGCCGAGCTGACGTAGGCGGAGATGTGATTTTTGGCGGTCCGAAATGCCACGATGAGGAAACCAGTTTCATCTGATTCATCGTGTTAAGTTAAATGATGGGTGAGACAGGGCGTTGAGGGCACGCATTGAACCTCCTGGAAGTTTGCTGAAGAAGTTTAAAAAACCTGTCCCAGTTCATGAGGTTTTCATCACAGCATGACAATAGCTGTGAGGCTTGGCTGGCAGATAATGCAACCACGATACACCACGGTGATAGCGATGATGGTGCGTGGCTTTTTCCTCTTGTGTTTCCCCCGGACGGTGTTATTGCGAGAGGTGAGTGCTGGCAGGGGATTTGACCGTCATGACATGGCCCGTGTGGTGATGATGCCGGAGATCATGACGGGGAAGATGGGGCTGGAGTATAGGGATCACCCAGGAAGCACGTGGAGAGGGGAGAGATGGTCAGGCTGGGGTGTCACGTCGAATAGTACCCCTGCATCTCACGTGGTCACCTCGTTAGGGAGTAAACCCGTGTGCCCTTGTTGGGAATTGCAGCTTGCACCATCTGGGGGATATTTTCTATTACATATTGGCTTAATATCATTGGCTTAATTGAATTTTGATCGATACGATCACTTATTTTTTAGAGAGCTGTATCGATTTTATGATCTTGACAGATTTTAAATTCTGATGAAAACTTGCCGAATCGTGTTTCGTAGGAAGAAGAAATGAAGAAAAAAAGCCTCATTTGGTGTTGAGATTGATAGATGCTCGAGGTTGAGTGCATATTTTAAATATTTTTGGTACAGTATTAGTAAACATTACATATATTAACTTATAACAACAGTATTGCTTCACCATTTGCTGTATGAAAAGGGTGGTTCTATATGCTTCTTGACGTAAAAACCTTTTAGTCAGTAGTTCAAAGTGAACAGTTTTGCTAAAGTCATTAAATTCTCGTCGTGTTTAAAGCTCCATTGTTTGTTTCGGCTACAATACTAACCAATTGCATTTTTTTTTATTTTTAACTTGGAAAAATATATCATAAATGCAAACTTAAGCCAATAAAAAGCAGGAAATATCTTGACAAGACTGTCTCAGAGTACTCCTCTTATTATCTAAGATAATTGTTACCAGTACCAAGCTCAAAAGTTCCATAATAATCTTAAAGTTCTAAAAAACACCTAAATTAGTATTAAACTGAAAACATTTTCGCGAAAATGCTTCGACGAGCAGAATGCCATTGGCACCAATTGCCATATTATTGAATTTAAAATGAAATGAAAATCAAAACTCTTGAAATGTTGCGGTGTATATTATAAGTGAGCTTTGAGTTTTATGAAGTCGCATCTACAGGTCGCATCTACGAGTGTATAAAAAAAACAAATTGAAGTGACTACACGGAAAAATGAGAGTACCAACGTACCTGTATAACCACAGTAGGACGGACTATAGAGAGCAGGACAGATCGTTTGTTCTTCTTTCTTGAAGGCATGGTGAGGAAGGCAGTCCGGGTCAGACTCAGGATCATCACTAGGAGATACTGAGCGATGGTGATGTTCCACAAGGAAGCCGTGTAGGTTGCAGGAAGACAGAGTTGGAGTAGAGGAGTGAACACTCTATCCCACTGCTAGATGGAAACACTCTATCCCACTGCTCGATGGAAACATTCTATCCCACTGCTCGACGAAAACGTGGTTTCTCACTTATGACAATATTATGACTTGATCATTCTGACTGAATTTTCGTGGAAAAAGTTTGTTATTTAATAGTTAAAAACGCTGGTTGATTTAGCTTTTGATTTTTAGTCCGTGATTTTTATCTGCAGTGCATCTAAAGTTGCAATGTCGAGATAATGGCAAAAACTGTTTTGATCAGGTGGCTGACCAAATAAGGAAGTTAGTCATCAAGTTGGTCTTATTACGTACGGGTTAATATTTAAACATAATCTCGAGCTTCTTAAAAGTAACTCCGGGCTACGTGGAGTAGGTTAAGTATACAGAGTTTAGTGCAGACCTTATTCTCACCCAGTAAATAACCGAATAACAGTTGTTCAGTTTATGTCCTTTGTATTATATTTATACGTAAATTCGTAGCATGACTCCTGAGTTATGATAGGGTATGATAATCTTGGGACCCCGTTTTATACACATCAATTTGCAATTAAATATTATTAGAATTAACTAAAGTCATTTAACGACTGTTTTTTATGGGCACAAAGCCCCTGGCTCCCAGATCAATATAAAGGAGTCATGATGAGTGATTTATGTATTTGGTATTGGTCATAGGACGCTAATTAATCTATTGGTCATCAGTTCATTAATGACCCATTTTATGTTCTTTTTCCGGTATTTAATTAATTGATTTAAAAGAAGAAATTTTACATCACTTTTGTCCTAGGTCTAGAACCTTTTCCCGACCTCAGGCTCGTGTGTTCATAAACAAAATTGTTAGATATGGTGGAATAACATTTGACATGGCATTGACCGCGTTTTTTTTGCTGTGGAGTGCTCGGCAGTAGTTTTAACAATATCACCATATTGTTAACTTCTCGTGCAGATTGTTCTGCCTTGGTGCGGAAAATCGGAGGGTGAACATTAAACTGTAAACATCATCATTCTTGTGCTTTTATTCTTTGCTTGCAGCAAGTAAATACCCTGTACCAAACACGTAACACAATATAATCGAGTTTGCCATTATTTGTATGAAGTGAGCCGTAATTTACATGACTTATGACTGAAGAACACAAATAAAAGTTGTCACAAAACGCCTTCATGAACGTCTAAACGGTCTACCAAGATGATATAATCATTATAAAACACATATTTTGCGCGCTGAGCATTCCACGCGCAAAAACGCGCTTATTAAAAAGCCTTGCGCGTTCTAGAGGGTTCAGTATCATCAGGCTATGTTAATGAACATAATAGCCTGGGGTCCTCAGGTAAAATATAATGTGATCTTATTGCTGACAAAATATGAATATAATTACTCTATTTGCCTTAGAGTAATAGACTGTCAAAGTTTAAAACGCGCATTGGTATAGCACGTGACTAATAAGTCCAAATTTATACTTCTTAACATATTATCGATCCTTAGACATCATACTATTGTGTCCAATTAGCGGTTAGGTCTCTAAACTCGTAGCAGAAAACACGTCTTTTTGCCCGTAAGAGCCTCTACTATAAAACTTGTAGCGCGATGCACTACTGGGCCGCGCCGCGCATCAAATAATTCTTCTCGCAACCACATGGGCACCACTGGGCCTCGCCGAGCTGCGAAGGATTGACATCGTGAATCAAACTAAAACTTATGACTGTTTGCCATTCAGACGCGAACTATTGCCGCGCGCGAACTATAATCATTTTTGCAATCGCAGAGCAACGGTCTCGATGGGTTGACATCCATTGCGCGTCATTTGTCAATAAAATACCTTCTTACTACAATCTATAAGTTTTTTAAAATCATGTTTAACTTTATTGCTCGATCGTGGGCGACACTTAACATGCATTATTTATTAATTGTAATCGTATTTTATGGTTTAATTCTCATTATTCCAAAAGTATAAATATCAAATGAAATGATAGTGATACGTCGCGTTCCGTTTTTATTTAATTCAGTTTAGGTTTTGCTTTTGGAGGACTTCGACGCGCCGCGCGAACTAGCATTCTTGCTTTGCATCGTCGATCGTTGCTCTGCTTCGCAGAGCAATTACGATCTCGATGGGTTGACATCGTCAACAGTCAATAAAGTTTTGCTTCAAATATTTGCTGCGTTTGTACATTGTATATACTAGACTGCCGACGAAATAAAAATATCAATTAAACTGAAATCTTAATTACGTTACATGACGTACAGGTAAGCCCTTATTATGTTTGTGTTATAGTTCATCTTCAAGGCTATTGTCATTTTGCTCGTCTATAAATTCCAATCAATGCAAGCGTCCTATAAAACAAAATAAGGAACAGCAACATGGGCAGATCCAGTTTCCAAATGTTATCCGGACTAAAAGCAAGAGAAGACAAAACCTCCTCACCAGTGTTTAGGGGACATGTTCCCGTTTCACATCCTGGGAAGGGAACTGAGCTGGTAAACTGGCTAGAACACATCATCTCAAAGGAGTAGTAGTAGAAGGATAACCACTGACACCACACCAAGTACCAGGGTACAGTTGCTGCGTTTATAAAGAGGCCTGCAGTGATGAATAAAGGAAGAATTATGGGGATGTGAAGAGCCATTGCCACCTTGAAGGATGGTGATATGACAGAGGTGAGGTATCCGAACGAAACCGCACTTTCTGCGCTCAGCCAGGCAGCTATTAGAGTGACCGCGAAGTTATGAGGTCTTGAATCTAGTCCAGCCATCCAATATATTGCGGTGACGAAGATAATTGTGAACAGTGTTTCGAATGGTATACGGACAAGTGATTTGGAAATCATCCAGGATGTTGCACTGTACATTGAGGATCTGATCTCACGTTTGTAAGAAACTCTGTCGAATAGTTCAACTGGCATAACTGAAATATAGCAAGAGTAGTTCCAGTAGAAGAGCACGAGAAACATGAGCCCCAGTTTGGACTGGACATATTGGAAGGTGCTATCTAGCTTCCAGTATAGCAGACCCAGCAGTACGGGTACCACCACCAGTTCAACCCCTTTACTGACGAGCTGTCCTCTGTTCCTCAGATAAGTAATCCCATCTCTTTTGCTGAGGACGAAGATCTCCTGCCATACTGAGTACTGTCGTGCACTAGCTCGACTTTTTGACATCATCACGTACTCTACTCCAGAGACTGGAACTGCTGTTTGACTCAGCGAGTCCACCAAACTCGACCTTAGATAATGAGAGAGATGATCAAATTTCAATTGTATAGTAGTAGTAAGTGAGACGATTATTTATTTTTAGTTATTTGTGATCATCAAGTCATAATAGTGGACTTGCTTTTGTAAAATTTCTTTCTGGCTGCAGGATACAAAATTTGCAATACGCCCAACACGTGATATCCATTTATCTGTTTACTGCTCCGTACATACCTTTGTAAAGCACTGATCACCACATCTGACTCAGTACACAGTGAGTACAGTAAATAATCAGCAGGGTTGATGTTCTTATCAGTCGGAGCAGCTGCACCGGCGCTCTGGAGCAACTCCATGATGTCACCAGGCAGTCCCTCAAACACTACGTGACCTAACTTCATCAGTAGAACTTTGTCGAACAGAGCGAATGTTTCAGCGGATGGTTGGTGGATTGTACACAGCACGGACCGTCCTTTGAGAGTCAAGTGTTTTAGACTGTTCACCAGTTGTTCTGACATGAATGTATCCAAACCTGAGAGGCATAATATTTGGATTTTATGGTCGATTAAATTTGGTGGATTTGGCAAATAGGCATTTCAATCCTGCAAAAAGTGTTACCAGAGATTTTGATTCCAAAATAGTGAATAGATAATAGATATGAGGTAAGCGAATTGCAATCGTGTATATTTAGTAACCTGAAGTAGGTTCGTCTAAGATAATAAGAGAAGGGTCAACAAGTAGCTCCTGTGCAACAGAGAGTCTCTTCAGTTCACCCCCACTTATACCCCTTTCTTCTTTACTCGATCCTATCCTAGAGTACCTCACTTTCGTCAGGTTCAGTTCGTCTAAAATTTTCAGCACCTATGTGGTGTGAACTGTCATAGTTGATAATTATCTAATTTGAGTCTAGTATTTCCAACAATGGATGCAAGCTCTTTTGAACGACCAAAATTTGATGATTTATTATCGTCCGGATGTATAATCATAACTTCAGTTTACTAATTGTAAGTAACGCTACCTTTCCTGCTTTAGCAATCTGAGAGTAACTAGGTCCAAGTCTGAGGGTGGCTTGGAAGTGAAGATGCTCGGTGACGGTCAAACAAGGAGGAAACTCATCAAACTGGGGTACAAAGGTACAGGAAGGCGGGAGACGGGGACCTACTTCTACTTTGTTTAACGTTATCGACCCTGCAGGTAATATAAGTAAACTCTCTTAAATTCGTCGGATTTGTCGGAAATAATACCCCATAATTTTGTTAATTTTATACCCGAAAGTAATTGTAAGCAATTGTCGTACCAAGCGCTGTAAGAGAAGATGGAAGTTGTTTGGAAATAGTTTGCAGCAGTGTAGTTTTGCCACTGCCGCTCTCACCCATAATACCAACCAGAGTACCGGTACCTACACTTCCTCCTACTCCTGAAATAAGCAGGTCTTGTAGAATGTAGATCTAATAAACATAGAACGTTTTAGTACGGATGCCGTCACGTGTTTTTTTAATATTGGCAACACATTGTAATAACATGGTTCGTCAATGTACGTTTCACCAGCGAAACATATTTTTATTTATATTACAACTTTATATTTAATTTCAGGTTATATTTACTGAAAGTGAAAGTGAAAGTGAAAGTGACCCACCTGACAGTATGTAATGCTCCTCCTCTACAACTCTCCTCCCAAAGCAACTAGTTTTAGTGGGCACGAACACGTCTACATCACCCCACTCAAGTGTTATCTCTAACCGAGAGATAGGAGCAAGTTAACAAGTGTTATCTCTAACCGAGAGATATTAGCAAGTTAACAAGTGTTATCTCTAACCGAGAGATAGGAGCAAGTTAACAAGTGTTATCTCTAACCGAGAGATAGGAGCAAGTTAACAAGTGTTATCTCTAACCCAGAGATAGGAGCAAGTTAACAAGTGTTATCTCTAACCGAGAGATAGGAGCAAGTTAACAAGTGTTATCTCTAACCCAGAGATAGGAGCAAGTTAACAAGTGTTATCTCTAACCGAGAGATAGGAGCAAGTTAACAAGTGTTATCTCTAACCGAGAGATATCAGCAAGTTAACAAGTGTTATCTCTAACCGAGAGATAGGAGCAAGTTAACAAGTGTTATCTCTAACCGAGAGATAGGAGCAAGTTAACAAGTGTTATCTCTAACCGAGAGATAGGAGCAAGTTAACAAGTGTTATCTCTAACCGAGAGATAGGAGCAAGTTAACAAGTGTTATCTCTAACCGAGAGATAGGAGCAAGTTAACAAGTGTTATCTCTAACCGAGAGATAGGAGCAAGTTAACAAGTGTTATCTCTAACCGAGAGATAGGAGCAAGTTAACAAGTGTTATCTCTAACCGAGAGATAGGAGCAAGTTAACAAGTGTTATCTCTGACCGAGAGATAGGAGCAAGTTAACAAGTGTTATCTCTAACCGAGAGATAGGAGCAAGTTAACAAGTGTTATCTCTAACCGAGAGATAGGAGCAAGTTAACAAGTGTTATCTCTAACCGAGAGATAGGAGCAAGTTAACAAGTGTTATCTCTAACCGAGAGATAGGAGCAAGTTAACAAGTGTTATCTCTAACCGAGAGATAGGAGCAAGTTAACAAGTGTTATCTCTAACCGAGAGATAGGAGCAAGTTAACAAGTGTTATCTCTAACCGAGAGATAGGAGCAAGTTAACAAGTGTTATCTCTAACCGAGAGATAGGAGCAAGTTAACAAGTGTTATCTCTAACCGAGAGATAGGAGCAAGTTAACAAGTGTTATCTCTAACCGAGAGATATTAGCAAATTAACAAGTGTTATCTCTAACCAGGGACAAAAGGAAATCGCGGCATGTACGGAATCGCGATTTTTCCCATTATTTGCGACAAATTTGATGTATAGTTTAATATACCGCGAAATGTAATTCGCGGTATCGCGATTTTTGGCCAAAATCGCCGCGAAATCCTTTTGTCCCTGTCTCTAACCGAGAGATAGGAGCAAGTTAACAAGTGTTATCTCTAACCGAGAGATAGGAGCAAGTTAACAAGTGTTATCTATAACCGAGAGATAGGAGCAAGTTAACAAGTGTTATCTCTAACCGAGAGATAGGAGCAAGTTAACAATCAGATTTTCAATTAACAACGGGGAATGGGGATTGATATTTCTCCGTAAATTAATGCACAACTGAACTTGAGAATATTTAAGATAACGACACCGTTCTCCGGTAATTTCCAATATTACATCTATACCTTGAACGACAGACTCTGAAATCTGAAGTATACTGTCTGAGTTTCTAAGTTGTATAGAACCCCTAACCGGAGCATCTTCTTCAATCTTTAGATAACCTATAAATAGCTTCTTAGTTGTGTTTTATTATTAGGGATATCTTCTAAATGATTTAAGCTCTGAAATAGCCTTGTTATAGCGCTCCTGCAAACGTACAAATATATACATGTATGAAAATGTGGCTTATTTTAATTATGTACATAATATGATATTACATTTACTCGCGTATATTACATGTTAGTCCACAAATATGTCTGACAATGTATCTTAACCTACAAATTCTTCCTTATCAGCTTCTCCTAAACCAACTTCTTAAACAAATTTCACGAAGTTAGAAAATATTGGTACCTGAACTCAAGAATCCTTGTTTGCTTCCTTTTCTCTTCACCATTTAGAAATGAAGATCACACTGGATCTTGAAATAATTTGGGATAACGCTTATCGGAAAAAAAAAGGAACAGATGTAAAACAGAGAAAAGAACAGAACCAAAATGACTAGGCTAAAAGAAACAGACTGAACGTACACAAGTTGAGATAAACACAGTTCGATCTGACAGTCTCCGACAAACAGTTGTATCACTTTCTTCTCCATTAAATCCGCCTGTACCATCCTTTTTTGTGTAGTGTAACTTTCAGAAAATACTGCTCTTTCCTCAGCAAGTCAGTAATAGTGTAATACTATTGCATGGCTGGATTTGCTGTTTCTAGTATATCTTGTCGATCCACACCATTGTTACGACCTTGTCTTCGCCAAACAATATGGTAAAGATTTAATTTGTGTTAAATTTGGGAGAGAGGTTACCTTATAGCCTTATAGGACTGTAAAGTGTAGGTTTGAGATTAGAGACGTGCAAGTTTCGGTGTTATCTGCAGAGATGTCAGACTGACGGGTTCCCGTCCAATTTTGGTGGTTCTTGCATAAAATGTGGTTGTACATCTAAAAGAAATGTTATGTGTGTCCTGTTAGACTTAGTCCTACTCCTATGACGACAAATTACTTAACTACTTAACTACGTTCATGCAAAATCCTTATGTCTAGATTCCACTCTCAAATAGTTGGTCCCTACACTCTCAATTTGGTCCCTCCTCGGTTAAAATACTATTCAGTCAATGTTAAATTTCTGTTTAGGAAATATTATACTATTTGAAAATCGTTAAACCTAAAATTGGGTGGAATTCGAGTGTCGGCTTGTAAATATTAATATTAATATTATGACCAAACGAATCACTATTAATTTGATTCGGGTACAAACTACAGTACGTTACACGGAAGATCGAAGTGGGCACTGCTTGCAAGCAAGCAGTAGATAATTACCTACCGACCTGCGTGTCAGCGGTTCATTTTAATTGTAGCAGCCCAAGCCCTTACAGACGTGAACAAAACCAAAAGAGACGGGCGGCAACTACCACGAGCACCCAAATGGATCCGTTATGATCGACAACTTCAGAGAATTGTAGATGATTACACAACTACAGCAACCCTATGGATTTCCTAAAAGCTTTCGGAAGTTTGACTATGCTTTAGATTTGTATTGTATTTGTATTGAATTGTATTGAATATATTTAAATACCTTATCGGACCTTATTTGGACGGACATTACTTGAACGCTGGAGGCCCTAGCGTTCATCTTAATGTCCGTTCAAATAAAGTCCGTTCAATTAATGTCCGTCCAAGTTAAAGTCCGTTGAAATTTTTTCAAAAATTTTTCCATTTCGAACTTTTTGTCCAGAATATGACAATACAACTATGAGAACTTTATTGTGCCGTAAGTTAACGACGGAAAGGTTCTCTTTGGTCTGCCGGAGGCACAGAAAACTTTATTAGTATATGATGTTATCAAGGGTCACTTGGCGGAAAAAGTCAACAAAATGACAAACTTGTTCCAGCCTCTAGATATTACGGTAAATCGTGTCGCCAAGGACATTGTCCGACGTTATTATAGTTCATATTACTGAGGGGAGGTAATGAAACAGTGCTAGGAAAGCTCCACGTGATGTTAAGGTTAACCTAAAATTGTCTAAGATAAAACAGATTCACGCCGAATGGCTTGTAAAAGTTAACACTGAAATGCAGGACCGGGGTACTTTGATTAAAAAAAAGGTTTCCATAAAGCTAGAAATCACAGAAGCATGGACTATTTCATGCACGAAAACCCATTTGATAAAGATGATATGTGACATTAGACACTGATCATGTACACATATTTCAACATTTTTACTGCTTAATGACTCCTTTTCTTACTTACTGTATAAAAAATGGATTTAAAAATCATTTGCTGAAATTAAAAAAACGTAAAAAAATTGAAAAAAGTTCGGATTTTTGATGGTTTTGAATGCCTTCGAGCGTTCATATTAATGTCCGTTCATAATTATGTCCGTTCATGTAATGTCCGTCCAAATAAGGTCCGATAAGGTAACATTTATATAACATTTAAACTATTGTCCAATTTATCGACATCAAATGAAAATAAACTATGGTAGTAAACTATGGCTCAGATCATATCTCAAATTGGAAATGTTACGTATACAAATTAGCAAGTAGCAGTTCAGATCATGTCTCTAATTGGAAATGTGTCGTATTGAAATCAGATCACAATTTCGGAAAAATGTCGTTTTTTTCTGATATCCTGAGTCGGACAGATGTCGCTGTCGGACAGATGTCGCTGTCGGACAGATGTCGTTGTCGGACAGGAGTCGTGTTACCATACTAAATAGTCCATGCTTAAAGCATCAGTGATTTCTAGCTTTATGGAAACCTTTTTTCATCAAACTACCCCGGTCCTGCATTTCAGTGCAAACTTTTACAAGCCATTCGGCGTGAAGTGGTTTTTATCTAAGACAACTTAAGGTTAACCTTAACATCACGTGGAGCTTTCCTAGCACTGTTTCATTACCTCCCCTGAGTAATATGAACTATAACAACGTCGGACTATGTCCTTGGCAACACGATTTACCGTAATATCTAGAGGCTGGAACAAGTTTATCATGTTGGCGGGGACTAGCTCATGAACTATGTAGTTGAGTACCATAATTTCGTTGACTTTTCCGCCAAGTGGCTCTTGAAAACATCATATACCATTAAAGTTTTCTGTGCCTCCGGCAGACCAAGGAGAACCGTTCCGTTGTTAACTTACGGCACAATAAAGTTATCATAGTTGTCATATTCTGGACGAAAAGATAGAATATTTTTTAAATTCAACGGACTTTAACTTGGACGGACCTTAAATGAACGGACTTTATTTGAACGGACATTAAAATAAACGTTAGGGCCTCCAGCGTTCAATTAATGTCCGCCCAAATAGGGTCCGATAAAGTATTTAGCTAGGAGTATTCCTTAAAAGAAAGTTTTAATCACATCAACAAAATATCCATCCCATACAGCCCAATAAAACATAAAATACTTTAAACACAACACAATTGCCACAAAACCGATCAAGATGATCTTCCAGCGACCTTTGCTTATCTTGTAAAATTCTAACTTGTTGATGTTCTCTTCATTGCTTCGCCAGAGAATCTGCAACAAACAAGTATATTATATTTGAGTAATACCTAAGATTCTGTGATTGTTTTCGCCAAACCCCAAAATTGGGTAGAGTCGACTGTGGCCACTGTATTTCCTTTTTCGGCCCTCGTTATAGCGAGGCGCGTTTTACTTATACTCTTATAGCGAGGTACTTCTGTAATTACTATGGAGTTATCGTAATGTAACTGTCACTCCTTTCTCAGCTCCAATAGTTCATTGTCCGTTTATTCATAGATTTCCATAGAAGCCACAAAGTAAGAGACTAGATTCTGAATTCAATGGTAAAACGATTCAGTTTCACCATGCCCTCAGTAACTTGCCACTAGGATCATTGTGCTAAGAAAATACATACTATAACTATTGCAGTCACTCTAACTCTTGTTAAACTTACCAAGCCTGTCTGTCCTTGTTAATCTCATACGGGATTACAAATAGACTAAGTCATCTTTATATTCATCAGGTTGAAAAGAGAAGAACAAAAAGCACCGTTTAGGGCACCACGAGTATTAGCCGGGCTGCGAGCTTAGCGTATTTATTCGAGGTACTGCAAGTGAGCCTGTTCGTATACTTATAGTCGTTAGCCATAGGAAGATCTCGATTAACTCCAAGTAGAATGATAAAGGAACGTGAGGACTGAGAGGATTTTCAGGACGTAACTCTGCAGTGGTCGTTTTGAGGGATACCTGAGGAAAATCAAATTTGGGTAGGAAAATTGTATTTATCAAACTGTTAGTCAGAAATTTACAAAAGTTTTAGTTTACAATAAGTTTAATGATATCTTTTTGACTTTCAGTATTTTTATGATTATTCGTCAGACCCATCATCTTTTCGCAGACGGAGACGAGACAAATGATTACACTCACATCCATCTACCTTAGAAATTCCCATTCTTCTAATTATTAAAAAAACGGCTCATGAATTAGTGAATAGAATGACACGGTTAAATAGGAAACAATTAAAACTCACATAGAATCTCTTGTGCGCTTCCTTACTTGCATTATTATCCTAACTGCGCTGTTTGTTCTTTCGTCCAGTTAACCAGCTATAAGATTATAGTATACAGATTCACAAAATATGGTTTTTTGCGAAGATGATATTGATAAACTCTCGGTAATAAAATTTGGTCCAGTCAGAATTTCAAAATTCACGAGTGGGGTCATTATGTTAGGACTAAGTATGTTGCCTGTTGGGCTGTAACAGTAAGTATTTTATGAGCATGATATCATTAAATCTTTAAATGATCTTTATCTGCACAATTCACGATCCCTCACCTTTTTTATTGCATGGCGCATGCCATGTATTGCAAAGCTCTTCGGCCGGGTTTTCTGGTAAAAATAAATATTCATATATTCAGATCTGCTGTACTAGGAGATAAGACCTGATTCTTTCACTGACCAATTGGCTGGCCCAAATTTTCTAGTAACGATGAATATTCAAACCTATAACAGATGAGACCTGATTCTCTCACAAATCATTAGGCTGTCCCAACTCACGAGCTTAATCGTGCATTAGTTACCAGCTTATCAGTATCTAAGAACCTCGTAAGAGGCATCAGGTCAAAGGCGGTTGCAAGGCGATGGGTACACGTGACACAAAAAGATCACCTCGGTTCTTTCTTGTAAGTTGTAGATCAGTACACTATTTAAGGGTTAGGGTCAGGGTTTTCTTTTGCACGCTCTCATATCTAGAACACTGAACAGCGTTCAAATCATTCGATTGATGCCGGCTGCACATAAATTTTAAGGGCTAACGCTATCCTAGCCTCGTGTATCGCGTCGGGGAGCTTAAAAAAGTCTTCTTCTTTACCATTAGTTAATACCATTATTTTTTTGTTTAACTTATGGTGAAAAATAATATTTTTAGAGACAAATAATATTTTTAGAGACAATATTTTTAGAGACTTTAATATTTCACAAATCTGTGCTCAGTAATCGAAATGAGTTTATTGTCTTTTCCATATAGTTTTATCTTATCTATAAGGTGTCCACTGTCCAGTTCCAGGGACATCAAATTCAATGTTATTAGGGACTCCCTAATCACTGATCAATTCCACGCGGTGAGACCGTAACAGAATTACAGGGATCATACAGTCGATTAAAAATCTTTTAGATTCTGTCAAATGTTTTTAAGTCTCCGAAGTCCGCTGATATGAGATTATCAAACAATAATAAAACAGTTCTGTCACATTTGATATTTAAGGTAAAAATATTTTTGTTGTTATATTTGATTATTATCACTTTATCAGTCCTAATAAACTACATATATAAAAAAATTAAATATATCAGAAGCCAGAACATGAAGACGACGGTGATCATTATAACGACTTTGCTTTGGTTACCCCTCAAAGGTGAGAATAAATTGAATTCAATTATTAATTTTAGTTTTAATAAATATTACAGTAGCTTACCTCGTTATAACGCGCATCGATGGAGGAGATTATTCATCAGGAGATAATTTAGCCCAAAAAAACGCGTTATAGCAAGGTCTGCATTTTAACGAGGTTTGATTTTGAAGGCAAATTTACAAATTATCACATACCGAGCTTTACTTCAACTTGTGTTATAAGCAGTTTTGCAGATTTGAACACATATTATATAAGATCAGTGTTTGGTGCACATATCATTCGGTTTAAGTTAGTCAACCAATTGATCAATCAGGATACATATTACACATATTATGTAATTATGTAATTCAGGTTTTTATAATTTAGTCAAATCAAAACTATTTCTTTAATTTGACTGATTGAAAATGGTATAAATTATAATGTGACGATCTCTTAAAGTGTTCACTACTTCAGGTGCACTAAGACCAGAGGTACCAGGTGAGATAAAACCTGCGTCTGTGTCTCAGTCTAAGACTGTGAATAATGACGAGGCTAACTATAGAGCAGATAATGCTATAGACAGGGACCTGAGCACAAGTGCTTATGCAATTGCAAAACCAGGAGCGGATAGTAAGACCTGGTTTAGAGCGTCTCTGGATAAGGTACACTGCATTAAGCAGGTAGTGCATTATTGGACCTCACGGTCCACAGACACTCACACCTGCTCTAAAGACTCGTGTACCTGTGAGGGAGTCTATTGTTATGAGTGGCCCCTCACAGTGTACCGTGAAAACACGGTCTCTGGAGTCTATGTCCCCTCTGGGTGTAAACTTGGAGACACTGTAGAAATAATACTAACAGCTGACGGGCGGACAGAACATGTCCAAGTGCATGAAATAGTGATCATCGCAAAATTAGGTAGTCTATTGGACTTATTAATTTTAAGTTGCTTTTCCAGATATTATTCAGAAACTATCAAATTATATCATGTCATAGCTTCGTGAGTTATACATAGCTATATTTTTTAAATGACATTAGATTAAGACAATATTTCACGACAGTTTACTAGTTGCGCGAAAAACGACATTCTAAAATTATAATATCTACTTAAGGTTGCGAGGAACTGAGCCTGAAGAGCGTGTCATCAACGGAGCCTAGACTTCCTGTAGCAAATGCAACACTGATGACGGTACAATGCGAAACAGGGTTCATCAACAAAGGAGGAAAAGCGAGGTGTCTTTATGGAGATATAGTTGGTCTTGTCTATGATGCACCACTTTGTGATATCATAAGTATGTTAACACCTTAATACCCACTTCATAAGATTATTATTTAAATTCTTAAATTAATATTTATGTCATGCACGAGGAAGAGATACTGCGAACTTCTCGAATATATTAGCGCGAGTTACTTTGGTAACTAAACCGCAGAGCAAAATAAAAATTTCGAGATTGCGATGAGGCGCTGCAAACATTCCACACTATAATTCTGTCTAGTCAACAGAACTTAATTAACATATGCCCATTATATATGTATATGGCGCGAAATGGCGCGAAATCTGGCAATAACTCAATAATTTTGGAATAGGTTTAGGTTAATACTTTAGTTATTTTCCTTACCCAAGATATCGTACGAACCTACAAATAAAAGTGTGATTATTTAGCAGAGTATGGCGGTGATCAGTGAGTACAATGTTCAATAAATTTTGTGTTTTTTAAATACAAAAATTTCGACAAGTAAAATATTGATTCAGGAATCATGTTTTTAGATAAATAAACAAATTCGTTGTGAAAATGTACATTGTGCTTAATTGCATAAAACGATAAAAGAGTTGGTAAGGCAATTATGAAGCTATCTAAAATTTCAGAAAAACAGAAGAGAGAAGATTTATGATCGCGGAAAGAAAGATGTCCAGGCGGTAAGCATTAATTCGTTATTCTCAGTATCGATAGAGTAACTTAAATTCAATATTTATTAGTCTTATGAGGTATTATTCTAATTCAGTGATTGTGTGAAACTCAGCTTAATCGAATAACACATTACTCTCTGCAGGGACAGTTGCGTAATCTGCAAACCAGAATGAACGAAGGTGACACGGAGGAAACCACACACTTTGAACTTGAACAGGTACCAATTCAGAAACTAAACAATCAATTGTAGTTGTGTTTGCATTTATGAGACCC